CTCGTCAGAAGACCGCCCCGGGGTGTGGCCGCCACCCAACCCTTCCTTAGGCTGAGAAGCCGGTGCGGTCCCCTTGGAATGAAAGGTCCCCGCATCCAGGCTCCGCTGTGCGGGAGACTCCATGGATTGATTCCTTCATTGAATGAATTGATTCATTCTTTCATTCAATTCGTATCTATTGAACGCCTACTTTATGAAAGTAGAATTTGTGGTGCTCAGTGAACAAATGGCACCCTGAAATTCAGGGAGCGGAATGTCTTGCCAGAATCAGGCATGTCTCCTGCTCTGTCTGTTTGTGTCCCTGACGCGTGGTGGTGGAATTGTTAAACACCGGTGTTTACTAATATTCATGGTCAACCAGGACATCTGACTCATCCCTGAACTTACTGGGTCCTATTTGAAGTTTCCCTCCAGAGCCCTTGCAGTCGGTGTTGGAGACCCCTGGCTTTCAGGCTGAGCGACGATGGCCACACCTGGGCTGTTCGCAGAAGTCAGAGCTGCAGAGTAAGCAGAGAGGAAGTTGTTGAGGCAACAGGGTTGTGCGCCCACCGTGTGCCTAGGCTTCAAGAGTGAGGACGTGGAGAAGAGGCATAAGAAAGGAAGATCTTAAATGCTCTCACCAGAAAGAAAAGAATTACGCAAGGTGCTGGAGGTGCTAGCTAACCCCCGTGTGTCTATCACTTCCCAGTATCATTTCTCAATATGTAATTGTATCGAATCAACACGTTGAGCAATGAAACTTACACAATGTCCATTACATCTCAATAAAATTGGGGACAGAAAAAAAGAAAAGAAAAGAGGAAGGCACTTCCTATGGGCGAGGCAGGAGCAGAGGCCGGTACGAGTTCACACGGAAGGGAAGAGGGCTCTCAGAGCAGCTCAGTCAGTCAGCCACTCACTCGCTGGCTCCTTCTCTGTTCATTCATTCACTCCTTTATCACACTCACCCACTCGCTCACACATTCATCCTTTTACTCATTCATTTTGTCACATTTGGTATCTACCTGGAGCCGCAGGTATAGGGCTGGATCACAGACATCGGTGGGGAGCGGGGAGTTCTGGCCCCTGCTCCCAAGGAGCACAGAGCCTGGCTGGCAGCCAGGTAAGGGCAGGTCATCACAGCCCAAGATAATCAGGGTGTATTTATGATCAAACAGGGCAGGAAGGTGTTTCTTTACATCCCACCCCGCCACCTGCATGGCCAGGAAAATGAAGGCAAGTGCAATGGCATCGCCAGGTAAGAGAACTTAGTGGAATTGCTACTGCATCGCCTCATGCTCACCCTTGGGCACACGCACAGGGCCTGGCCCAGAGGACTGGCCCAGGGGATGTTTTCATATCTCAGAGGCGGAGGGCGATGAGGTGGGGAATTGCGTGAGCCCTGGGTTCTAATCGCCTGGGTTTGGGTCTCCCCCACTTCCTGGCTCTGTAGCTGTTGGTAAGATATTTAGCCTCTTTCTTGGCCACTTTCCTCATTTGAGAAATGGGAAGAATAATAGTGTTTACCTCATCAGTTCAGTGTCATGATTCAGTGAACCCTCAGCACAATGGTTAGCTCAAGGAAAGCACTTAATAACTGATAGAAATTACTGTTCATTGAATGAATGAATAGTAATGGCTAACTTCATTAGGCTGAGCATTTACTGTTAGATGTGCTAACACCTTTGCACACATTACCTTATTTAATCTGGTGAACAATCCTCTGAAGTGTCCCTTTTACAGGTGAGAAAACAGGCTCTGAATGAGGTGGGAACAGAGGATGAACATGACTCAGCATTATATACTCAATAGGGTTATTATCTTGCAGCCAATAAAGATGATGAGACTCATGGTTACTAACAGAGAAAAAGGTGTCCACTAAGTGAGGAGAAGAGTAAACTACAATACAGTATTAACAGCATGATCCCACTTTGTTTATGGGAGGATGTCATTAAAATGTTAGCAGTGATGATCTCTGAGTAGTGGGATTGGGGGTGCCTTTAATTTTCCATTTTTAATGTTTTGCTCTTTTCTGATTTTCCACTAATGGGGATATGAAAATCTATTATTTGTGTAACTAAACTCGTGTTTTAATGGCTTTACATTTTAAAGAAAATACTCTAATGTTCAACTTAGCTTTCCTCCGCAGGAAGAAAGCAAAAAACCAAACGTATCCTACTTTCAATCCTCCCTTTTTGGGGGGTAGGTATAGAAGGTCGGTTTTCCCTTTTGACACAGATCAGATCTGGGGATTGAGGTGGGACCGCACAATCTGTCGTAACCCTGGAGTCAAGCGGCCATGGGTTTGCATTCCAAGCTCAGCACCTGCCCACTATGTGACCAACAAGGCAAGTCACTAAATCTCTGCTTTGTCCTTCCTAAGAAGGAGGTGACACCCAGCTTACAGGATCGCTGTGAGGGTCCAGACAGATGAGGCCTGAACAATTCACTCCTTGCCTGGCATGTGGAGAATTCCCAGCCACTGGGAACAAGAGTTATGATAAAAATTATTTATTTTGGTCAGAATAAAGTGCACGACCTCATCACTGCGTAACTGACAGAAGGCAGCTGCCGGGGAGGGAGCAGGGTCTGGGGAAGCCTCTCCTCACAGTCGCCTCGTGCTCTTGGACGGCTGGCTGCAAGGCACGCTGGAGCGGCATGCGGGCCAGTGTCTTCAGAGGGAGTAAGGACCTCCGGTGATCTGCCACATTGAGAAAAATGTCTCTGTTTCTGGCAAAAGTCCAAAAATTAATTTGTGAGCACAGCATTGGGAACGTAGTCAATAATATTGTAATCGCTATAGGCGGTGCCAGGTGGGTGTGGGAACTGTTGGGGGGAGCGCTCTGTAAAGTACGTGGCTGTGTAAGCCACGTATACCTGAAATGGATACAGAACAATACTGAGTGTAAACTGTAATTGAAAAATACAATTTAAATTAAAAAATAAAATAAAAAAACAAAATTCCACAAAGGTATTGTTAAAAAAATTCACTTGTGACAGGTAGTGATGAAACCAGAACAGCCGGCGTTTGTGCTGCCCGTCCCTACCAAAAGCAGGGAGTAGAGACAGGGATTGGATTGTTTATGGGCGCTTTATTTAGATGTCCGGTGATCTGAGAAGACAGTGGGTTATATATGCCCTGAAAAAACCATCTTAACCTCTCAATCTGACCTCTTTTATAAGAAGAAAAGGGTCGGTAAGGTGTTTGGAAAAAGAGGTTAATCGAATAAGAGTTGCAGTCCTTGCTCTTTTCCTAGGACTTCTTTATCTGCATCAGGGACAGTTCCCTCCCTGGAGCACAATGGCTCACATGCTGTCTCCAAGGCCTGTGGACCCGCTGGGGCACAAAGGTCGACTTGCTTGTCCAACCTCCTGGAGCCAAGTAGGCCTTGCATTCCACTTCCTGGAATAATAGCTTTCCACATGCATTAATCACTCAAGCCTATCAACTATAACTAAAGCTAAAACCATGAAGTCTGGAGCTCCCCTGTCAGTAACAAACATCAACTCCCGCTGCTGTTGATGAGCGCCATTGTCTCACCCCGCATCCCCCCAGGCTTTGCACACTGTCTGCGTGCTCACCCCAGGCAGCGCAGACGGTGGCACGTAAACTTTTCCCATCACGGACCTGGCTCTCCAATGTCACCCCTCCTGCCACCTCCCCAGGAGGAGCCATTTCTGCCCAAACCACCATGGCCCCAACCTATCACCCCCCTATCCCCTCTCCGTGGGTCTGTGCTGTCATCCCTGTTTGACAAGTCCTCTTACGGGAAAACACTGTAATCTGCGCTTGGTGAGATCATTTAAAGAATTCATTTACGGGCGAGATCATAACAATGACACATACATATCGTACGTGTTACGTCAATGTAAAACACATTCGCTCGCCCTTTGGCCCTGAAGCAAGGCCTCTTCATTGAGAAACTTCCAGCGGAGTTCTCCTTCATTTTCCTGACATTAAACAAACCCAAGAGTTTCAGTTTTGGGGGTTTCTTCCACGTGCAGTGAGAACTCAGGCACTTTCAGCGGTGTGTGTGCAGTATCCTCAAGGACTTCGCGGCCCCGCTCCACCCCTCCAACTCTCCTCAGCAGTCTTGCTCATCGATTCAGGAGCATTTGGAGGAGGCGGTGGCAACACACCTTTATCCTTTCTCCCCAAAGCATTCAACTTAGTTTTACTAGATTCTTTTACTTTTCAATCATATTTCATTGGTTAACTAAGTCACATCGTTACAGCACGGAGCACAGCTGCCCAGGACAGGCTTGGGAACCCACATGACGACTACTGGTGGGCAGACTGCTCTTGACCGCTAGCAGCAGAGAGGGTGTTCAAGAGGAATGGGGAGGGTCAGCGAAGGCTGTCCTGCAGACCGGTTCGCCCCCACGTTCATCCCTGACCTGTTCATCCACGTGCCTGAGGTCCCAGTGAAGACTTTAAGGGACCAGATAGCGGGATGGCATACAGCCATGTAGTCCCTTCATTATAGCTGGTGGTGGTCTCCCCTTTACTGAGCTTGAGGTTGAACAAGGAATGCCAGGTCCTTGAAAAATCAAGAATCTAAGAAACTCCTTCATTTATGCAGCTGTTGGCTCAAACGTGTGGGGAAACATCAGCCCTGTTCTCAAGGAGATTCTATTCTACTTAGGAATAGCAACAGGGAACGACTACCTTTTTTGGAAATTACCAGGTACCTGTTCCGCACATACGTGAGCTCATCTGAGCCAAGAGAATTTACTGGCACGTAGTATAGATCTAATTTCTGCAACAGTCATGTGCAGTTGCATTACTATAAGCCCCATATTCACCTGAGCACACGGAGGCTGCACAACGAGAGGACGGCAGATCCGGGAACACCCTGGATGGACTTGAAAAAGGGAGCCCTGGCTCCACAGGATGACTTTCCGCCCTCACAGATCCCTGCCCGGTTTCCCAATGTCTCTCCTGTAGACTTACATGCTTTTCGGGATGGAGCCCCCGGCTGCCCAGCCACAATCAGGTAGAAAGAAACACACAGCAGGAGTTCTGAAAATCAGCCGTTTAATCTGTTTGAACCCAATGAGTGGGGAAAGAACGAAAACATTTTTTTCCCTTGAGATTTTGTTTATGAGAATGTTGGGTCGGGGATGTCTCTTCCATAGGAAACTGACATCCTCTATGCCCTCAAGGGTCTGTTTTTTAGAAACACATAAAGTGGATTTTCAACTCCTCTGTGCCCCGCACACTTCCCCGCCCTGCCCTGCCCACCCTCTGAAGGGGCTCCTTTCCATAACAGGGGAACAGAATGTGAAAATTTTTTTCAAAACCCATCTAACTGGCCACAGATGCCAGGAATAACCAAATGCAGCTACACACACATCAGTCAACTTGCAGGCAAGCAGGGAAGCGCTTCCTCTCAGAATCCCGGGCCAAAACTTAAAAATGGCGGAGACTTAAGCCATCTGTACAGATAAGTTAAAACTCGTCCGGGACACTCCCCTCAATTACAAAAGTATGCAAACAATCTTGATATAAATGGAAAACAGGCAGCCACTCTCTCCCCCTGGACACCCGGGCATACCGAAAATTCCCTGGGCCCCAGTGCGCCTGGACCGCTGCCCCTCCCTCTCAGGACTGAAGGGGAAGGACGAGGGGGAGCAGGGGGGAGCAAAGGGGGGCCCAGAAGGTGGACGTCCAGATGGGGAAGGCCGGGGCTGCTTCGCTTCCCCCACCTACGGCCTGGGACTAGTGGCCGCTGCTGGGAGAGGCCGAGACATGATTATTTCCGGGTTGCGGGGAAAGCTGCTCCGCGTCTGAACACAAACCCTGTCTGGTTCTCAAAGGCTGACTCCCCAGCCACAATCAGTCCCCACCAGGAGGTGCTGCTGCTGTCACACAGCGCAGGGGCTGAGGCACATTGGCGGGGTGGGGGGGGGCGGTTCAGAGGAACGATGTGAACTGAGGAAAGGGCCCCTGCCACCTGCCTGGGGACCAACAACTGGGCTTCTTCTCGAGAGAAAAAGGCCTGCAAGGCGCGGAGGCCAGGGACTTGAGGCCTGGGCTCTGGGTTGGGCAGGAAAGCAGGGACCAGAGCGAGGTTTCACCTACGGCGCCATATCCTGGGGGCTTGCCCGAAGTACCGTCCTTTGTTGAAGGCGCCAGGGTTTGGGGTGGGGTACATTTAGGCAGCTTGGTCCAGAGCTGAGAGCCCAGGTCTGTGGGTCTGCTGCTCAGGGTTGGCGGGGCCGGGGGCAGGGGGAGAACCAAGTGATTAGTGTGTCCAAATGGCGGGGGCTGCTAGATTGTCAAAGCCTGGCTAACAACTGGTCCACGTGGATTCCGGACTGGTCCCACAAGAGAGAAGGGACTATCGGCCTCCCAGGAGTGGTCCCCAACATCCCTGAGCACCCCTTGCCCGATGCTGGTCTTGGGGCTCCCCAGCAGAAGGGGCACCCCTTCAGGCGGTGTCATTCATCTCAAACTAAACACGGGGAACAGAGGTAGCTGCGGACTGCGAGCCGCCCCTTCCTCCCCGACCCCCGTGTTGGGAGGCAGCCAGACCCTGGACCAGACAGGCAGGAGGAGCCAGGGCACCACGCCGGAGGCAGGGCGGGCGGGCCCCCTGGGTCCTCGGCCACAGGGCCGGCAGGCTGTCAATGCATCTTGCCCAGCTGGATCTTCTTCCAGGCCTCTGAGGCTGTGAAGATGCACGAGTCCAGAATGCCGGCGACGGTGAAGGTCCCGCCGATGATGGCACAGATCTGCAAGGGGGGAGAGGCCAGAGGTCAGCGCTGGAGGCAGAGCCAGGCCAGCCGGCTGCTGCAGCACGAGGTCGTGAGCTCAGCAAGTGCAGAGGCTCTGCCCACCACGTGACAACCAGTGGGAACTGGAACACAATCAGGGCTCAAAACCCCCCCTTCTTGGGTGGTGAATTTCATAAGAAAAGTAATCATCAGCAGCTCCTTAAATTCCCAGATTAACCTTTTGAGTGAGGAAGGGGATTATTCAACCCATCCCACAGGCGAGGAGACCGAGGCCTAGTTAGGTAACTAGGTTCACGCAGTAAGCGGTGGTGCCGCGACTTGAACTCAGGCATGTCTGGACCCTGGAGCCGGTGGTCCTCACTTCTGTAACTGATCAGACTTTTACCGTCCCATCTGCAGATGAAGGGACGGAGGGTCAGAGAAGGGGCGCCACTGGCCCCAGGCCATACGGCCAGCAAGCGGCAATCCTGCGACTTGAACGTGCGTCGGACAGGTCCAGGCGCGGGGCTGCCTGTGGCCACGATCTGGGGTGGGCTGAAGAGGCAGCAGTGCCCTGCGTGGACTGGAGGGGGGAAGCAGGTCTCTCCCTCTGGGGAGCTTGCGCTCTACCAGTGGGACGGGTAGTGAGCAAATAATCGTGCTGAGAACTGCAAAATTACAACCGAGGTGAGCGCTGCAGAGGGGAGAGGGGCCCGTGGGGCCACCAGAAAGCTCCTACTGGGGCAAAGTTTCTGAGGGCACCATTATCTTTTGGGACCAGATCATTCACTGTGGGGGTGTCCCATGCACTGAAGGATGTTTAGCAGCATCCCAGGCCGCCATCCATGAGATGCCCGTAGTCTCTTCTCCTTGTTGTGACAACCGAAACGTCTCCAAACCTTATCAAATGTTCCCTGGGGGTCACAACTGCTCCAGAATAAGAATCGCCGTAGTAGGGGGATGATAATGAACGTCACCTGCACGTCTGTACTCTGTAACTTCTGTCACTTAATCATCCCAGTAAAACAAGACAGCGCTTCCACCTTCCCCGCGCCGGGCAAGGTCTGAGGCGCTTCATGCCTCCCGCCATGGAATCCCCGGACCAGCCCAGCAAGGTAAATGGGATTCTTACACTCATTTAACAGCCAAGGAAATGGAGGCACAGAGACCCTGAATCGCTTGTCTAAAGCCACAGGAATTGGCGGCCAAGCTGGGGTGCAGAACATTGTGGAGTCTGCTCTCCAAACACGCCATTACTGCTTCGCAGGCATGAAATGCCCACCCAGCTCTGACGGATTCCTCACTTTGCAGACAGTTGTCAGGACTCCACGTGTGACATGTCCAACTCGTGCTGTGTGTTACTCAGCACGTTTTGACCTGCGAGTTGCTTTCTGGTGCCATAAAACAATCAAAGTCCGAATGATGGAAAATTTAAAAAGTTCATGAGATCTGCAAGGGAACTTTACAAGTATTTTCCCCTTGAACACCCTTCATGCTGTTCAGGACAAACAATACCTCCCGCACCCCATATACCAGGGAAGGAAGAACCTCTTCACTCAGGCACCCACATGGCCCAGAGAGGGAAATAACTTGCCCACAGTCACACAGCAAGTGTGTGACAGAGCCAAGTCCGTCTGCTTCCAGAGCGCTCACTCGTCTCCACATGCGACATTTAAGTGGCACTTAAATGACCGCAGGACTCAGCAGAAGCCATGTCAGGCAGCCCCAGAGGACCCGGGCCCCTGGAGGATTCTGGGAGAGGGCAGCGCCTCAGTGGACCCTCCGGGGCCAAGTAGAGGAGGCCAGGAGACACAGCGGAGGCGAGAAGGAAGTGCGAATCGAACCAGCATTTATTTTTAAAATAGTATTTCTACAAGATGAGCTCAGCAGGGGCCTGTGAGGCCCAGCGCAGACAGAGCGGGTCTGTGCAGACGGGCTGTAAGTGGGGCAGCTGGCATCCTAGCAATACCAGCCCAGGAAGCCGGAGCAGCCCCTCCCCCGGCGTGGAGAGGCTGGGGGCGCTGGGGGGATTATGAAGAAGTGTTTTCGGTGGCCAGGCCTCTCCCTGCCAGCCTCAGAGCATGACGAAGGGGCACTTTTCAGGAAGGTGACGGCAGGGGAGCCGGGTTATTTCGGTAGAGCGGATCAGATGATGGGAGATTTCATACCACAAAATGCTTTTAGAGCTTGGATCAGAGGATAGGAAAGTGTGACTTAAGTGCAATGGAGCAAATAATGAAAAAATAAAAAATAACCACACACACACAAATCTATATTCATCGACACACTCTGCAGCCGAGTGCGCCTCTGATTCACACACCCCTGGCGCCCGGGCAGAGGGCTCTGGCCGCGGGGCTGGCCCAGAGCAGGAGACGACACAGGCCCCGCGGTGCATGAGGGGAAACTGAGGTCCCGGGAGCTTGGAAGCTGCTAGGCAACTCAGGAGGCCCTGCCATGAACCCCGTGCAAACCTGCTGGTATCACCCAGCTCAGCAGCGTGGACCCCACTGTCCCACATCTGTCAAAGGTGCTGGTTGCCAGGCAACTGAGGACAGGAAGCTGACACTTTTTTGCGGGGGCGGGGGGGGCTCAAAAGCTGAAAGAACTCTAACAGCCGCCTGATCTGCCATGTCCCTGCCTCCCTCACTTTTGTCTACAGGCCGCTCAGGCCTCCCTGACTCGCTCAATTCACCAGGCGGGGACTGGTGTGACCGGGCTGTGAGCAGGGGCCCCGGGTGCTCTTGGGCCACGGCGGGCCCTGGGTGCTGCCATGTGGGTGGTCACAGAAATCCCCAGCGCCGGGAGGTTACACCTGGACTCGCCCAGGGCGGTGGCCAGTCACGGCCAGGTAGGTGCCGAGAAGCATCTGTGACAGACGGCGTTAGTCAGGGGCAGAGCGCCTGGGCCACAGGCGGCTCCGCTTCGCTGGCCCACCTCAACCCTCTTGCTTCATCTCTCCTTTACCTAAAAGCCCGAGGGACAGAAGACAGCGGAAGTCCCTGACATGCAGTAGGACTCAGTACAGGTTCACTAAGTAGGTAAAGGAGTGAGTCAGTGTAAGAGTAAAGAGACAAATGAATATGAATGAACAAATGAATGAATGAATGACTTGCGCAGAAAAGGAGCAGGATTCCACGCCCAGGGCTGGGGGCAAAGGTGGCTTGCTCACAAGGTGGCAGCCAGGAGCAGGGGCCCCTCCCACTGCCTGCCCTCACACCCTCCAGCACCCTGTACCTCAGTTTCCCTCCTTCTACAAATGGGACGGCTGCGGGATTAAATGGGAGTGTCCGTGCCACCCTTGACTGCCTGTCCCCTTGGTCCCTCGCCCCTGCCATACTTTGTACCTCCTAGCCAGGCCCCAAGACAGTGGGACCACCTGTGTGCGCGTGCGGAGAGAGAATGAAGGAACAGGGCCGCTGAGCCAGAAAGGCCCACAAGAGCCAGCACATGCCACCTCCCCTGGTCAGCAGCCCCGGCTCCAGACACGAAAACAAGGACAATTGGCTATCCAGGCCCCAGTGAGTCTGAGACAAGCACTTCACTCTGCTTCGGGCAGAAGTCGTCCATAATGCCCCTTTGTTCCTCCGCTCGGCCCTCCTCCCTGCGGTCAGCCAGCTTCCCGGCCTCCCGCTACGGCCAGAATGAAGTCAGCTCGTCTCCCTCGAAAGGAAGGGGTGTGTGTGTGCATGTTTCCCTTACATTTTAATTATGGCTCTTGATTCCTTATAACATGGAAAGGACCCGTTCCAGCCGTGCCGCGGGGAAAGCTGAATCCCTCCGTTGTCCCACCGCACCAACCCTTCCCTGGGGCGTGCAATGCGCAAGCAGGACAGACGTGCCACGCGGGGCCGGGGAGAGGGCGGGCTCCGGAGCACGTGTCCCTGGGGTCGGACCCCAGCTCTGTGACTCTGGCTGGGACAACTGGTCCACCTCTCTGGGCCTCAGTTTCTCTCATCTGTAAAATGGGGCTCACCGTGGGGACCGAGACGCCCTCTGTCCAGCCGCCCGCCCGCCGTACTAAGTGCAGGGAGCCGGTCACTCCCTTTCCCTGTCCGGGCAGCATCGCTAGGAACACTTGTGGAAAAGCACAGCGTGAGGAAATGAATAATGGATCTGAGAGCCATCGGAGCTGGCGGCGGCAGACAGGCTGGAGCCGAGGATGAGGACATGGAGCCTGGCTGGGGGGGAGGGCCGTCTCGGGGTGGGGGGGAGCCGATGACTGGGCCCTGGCAGAGAGCGGGTGGGGTGTGGGGCGGCGGGTGTGGAGGTCCCCACCCAGAGGTGTCCCACCTGCCGGACCGCCCAAGCCCACCCTCTAGTGCAGGGGACTGTGAGGACAGGAGTCCTCCCCCAGCCATTTTTATCATGGCTGCAGCCAAAAACTACCTGCCGTTGCCTCAGGAAAAAACCCACCTTGGTTGAGCACCTACTATGTGCCAGGCCTCAGAGGGCGCATCCCTCTGCCTTCTCATTCGGTCCTTGCAAGTGCCTGGGAAAATGAGTGACCCCCATTCCACAGACGGGGAAACAGAGCCTCGGGGAGGGGCTGACTTGTCCAAGGTCACACAGCCACCGCGTAGGGTGACAAGAATCCAGGGCTGGGAGGCTGGCGGCAAAGGGCCTTCTCCTTCCAGCGAGAGCACCCTGCTTCACCCCACCCTGCCGGCTGCCCTCGGCCCCCGTCTTCATGCGCAGGCGGCTTCTTTGTACCTTGTTTTCTCGGTTCTGTTACCAAATGTCCTGAAGTGAGGGGGCCCCTCGGCCAAGCTGGTGAGGGAGAAGCCGTGCGGCTGTGCGAGTGCGTGCCGGGCGCCCGCTGCGTTCTGATCAGTCTCTGCCCACGTGCCAGAGTCTCTGCCTGAGCCAGGCTTCCGTTCCAACCGGCCGCCCATGTGCAGACCCAGCGGGAGCAATCTGTCCCTGGGACGCAGCCGTCGGGAAGACCTAGCTCTGCTCACACCGGAAGGATCTGAACTGAAGTGTTTTGCGCTAACTGCAGTCCCCCCTCCCTGTACCCCGACCAACTGAGCTGCTCATTTGGGTTTGTTCTGTTCCTCAGATAACGGAAATTGTCTTGGGGGTGGACCAAGGTGGACACTCCTCCTGCTGTTTGCTCATTGTTTGACACCTATTTATCACCCGTCTATGCTGTCGCTGTCACAGATCTGGAGACCAGAGGGGACAGGGCCCAGCCCTGCTCCCCTGGAGCCATGGTCAAGAGAAGAGAGGCGCTAGGCCTGAGCGCGAGTGAGCCGAGGCGCAGAGAAGGCCGCGCTCCAGCCCGGCTACGAGGCTGCTCTTTCCCCAGCTCACGTGGTCTTGGCAGGCGGAACCTGCTCAGGCTTGTGTCCCCTCGATTCTTTCGGCCACCTCCCCCCATGCCAGGCACCTGCTGCCTTTCGTCTGACAGATTCCTTCCGGTGCCCGAACAGATGAGCAAAAGGTAATCAGGTAAGAGCAAGAAAACATGCAAACCACAAGTTGGGACAGTTTGCTTTTTTTTTATGGTTTGCACGTGTGTGGCTGTGATTTCATCCCACATGCTCACAACATCACCTTGTTTCCTGCTGTAATTTTTTTTTCCTGATTCCCAGGATGGAAGTCACTGTAGCAAATGATCCTGGTGTCATACCAACAACCTCATGGCTTCTGGGGGCTCTGTGGCTGGACCATCCTTGAGAGCCACTGTTCTGAAAGAGGGAGGAGGGCTTTGGGGTCAAGTTCCTGCCTTGCCCTTTACCGGCTGTGTGATCTCGGATGGGTTTCTTTACCTCTCTGGGCCTCAATGAACTCATATATAAAAGAGGAATGAATCCTCTACCCTGGAGGGTCCTGGGGGTCGGGGAAGGGGAGGGAGGTTAAAGAGGAAAGCACTAAGATGCTCCAGCACATAGTAGATGTGCACTAAATGTAGCTACAGCATCAGTTTTCCAAGCAGCTGTCCCACGTATATTTCTGAGCACCAATGTGCTAGCCATGGCCTGTACCACATGCCAGGGACAGAGTTGAATCAGGCCCCGCAACTCTGAGGCACAATCTCAGGTTTGGGGGATTATTTCACTGGCGAGAAGCCCCTCGCAGGCAGCTATCAAGTCTGATTCGGCTGCCCCTGCTGCCCATCGGGAGTGTGTCAGTACTAGCCGGCTCAGTTGGGTACTTTGTGGCTTCTGGCTGTTCCTCCCAAATAGAATAAAACACGGGAAGCCATCTGATCTGTCACCGCGACCCACTTGACAGGAATCTCAGAGACGGGCTTCAGCAAGTGGCAGGGGACAAATGTGCATGCGTGGGAGGGGGGCACTTTAAAGGGGATCACCTGCACGTTGTCAAAAACACCATCTGTTTATTCCCTTAGTGGTGGAATTTTCTGGAATAGCACTAAACGGAGGTCTGAGCAAGGGGCCCTGGGCGGCCAGAGGGGAGCCCCGGGCAGTCTGGTGGAGACTTCTGGGAGGGGAGGCCCCGCTCTGGTCAGGCTCGGGGCGAGACCCTGCAGGGCCAGCCCTGAACAAGCCGGGCCCTGGATGCTTAGAATCGCCCGCGGGCGGCCCCGGCCGCCTGTCCCCTCCACACCCACAGCCACCCCCGCCGCCGGCTGTGCCCACCCCTCATTCCAGCCCACCCACAGCTGCCTCTGCAGCCGCCCCATGACGACATCCTGGCCTAAGCCCCCTCTTCAGTAGCCTCTCTCAGGAGCTATTTGCAGAGGTCCCTGTTTGGGGTTTGGGGGCTTTGCACGCAAGTGCTTAATTTTAAAGAGAGAGAAAGAGAAGTCCCAGCAGGTGCCCCCACTTCCGCAGCGGCCCCACCCTGCCTTCCCAGGGCCGCTGGGCGTCTTTGTGCTGTGTGTCTGCGTGCGAACGTCATCCCCACATCTGCTGTCCCGTGACAAGGGCCATTGAAGCTTCACAATGACGCCATCTGCCAGGGACAGCCAGCTGGCTCAAGGCTGACCCTCGTTGCCATGGCAACCAAGATGGCGTCACGGAGGGGGGCCCTTCAGAGAACCCAGCAGGCTAATGATGTCAAGGGGCTCCCTGCAGTGCAGCCCGCACTCAGGTGGAGGTGGACAGGGCGGAGGTGGAGGAGGGGCTGGCGGCCAGAGTCGCGGAGGTGGCCATCCTCTGGGGGACCAAGGACGTGCTCCTGCCCTGGGCCTTCTTGGGACGCCCAGCTCTCGGGAGCCCATCCCCATCGAAGCGGGCCACCTGGCTTTCAGGAGACGGGCTCTGTCGGACGCCTCTGCACACACCACTCCCTCTGCTTAGACTCTCTCCCCTTCGCTCAGCCCAGAAAACGTCTCCTTGTCCTTCCAGACCCATCGCAGGGTTTCCCTCAGAGCTTTCCAAAAGGAAGGGACGGTGCCCGCCGCCGTGTCCCGCCGTGCCTGGTGCCCGGCTCCGTCGGCATCCCCGCCGGAGGGGACTGCACCTCTGGGTGCTCGCCGGGAGTAGCCTGGGGGCAGGGATGACGTCTCATTCATCCGTCCTCTCGCCCAGCCAGGGCCTGGCATGTGGCGGATTCTAGCAAACGTTAACTGAATAAATGAAGTCGCTTCATTGCTCAGCCGCCTTGAAAAAACCAGGAACGGCCTCCGAACCTCAGCCATCTGGCACTGCAGGAGCAAATGGGGAGGGGGCGTGAAGGTCCTTCCCCCGCGAGGCGGGGACGCGGGGCTGTGAGGGCTCCCCCTGCGCAGAGGCGCCTACTCGTACCTTAGCTTCTGTCTCGTTCTGGGTACGCAGTCCGAGTCCTGGGCTGAGAACCAGCACCAGGACCCGCGGGAGGGAGGGTACAGACCACCGTTCCCCCTTTCACAGACTAGGAGATGCAGCCCTGGCTGCGGACATCTGACCTTCCTGCCATTTCGAATGGGAGGCCAGGAAAACGTATACGTGACAGGAATCATGAGTATCAAAGAAAAATGACATCAGCTTGAAGCTGCCCCAAAGACAGGGCTGGGTGGAGGCAGCGGCAAAGAAGGGAAAAGAGAAAAGGCATGAAGGAAAGAAAGAAAAAAACCTAACAATATCGGCAGCTCTGGCGGGAAAACAGACCCGGGAAGAAAAGGATGCGTCTCCCCTGCAAGATTTACACAGAACGGGATCGACCCTGCGAGGAATAATGTCCACAAAACTGAAACATTGGAGAAAGCCACGAACGGCGCATCAAGCCCTATACAGATGTGCCCAAGGAATGAATTTCATGGCATTCCCTTCCGGAAAATGCTTTCTTGATGAACTGCCATCGATCTTGACGTGATGCTGATGACGTCTCTGAACATCAGGGGACCAAAGCCCCCCAAGGACAGCCTGAGCCCCAGGCCCCGTGGGCTGCATCCTGCTGCTTCGAGGACCGGTGGGGGCGCCCACGGAAGGAGCCCACAGCAGGCGCCCCGCCTACTCACCGTGGTGATGAACCTGTACAAAGGCTGCCGTCTCTCTGTGTACTTGACCGTGATGGGGCTGAGGTCGTACCGGAACCAGATGGCTGGGATGATGCGGCCCGTGTGGCTGTAGGCGACGTACTCCTGGGAAGGAGGAGGGGGCGGGGGAGGTGGGAATGTGAGGCTCATCTCACGGGGGGGGGGGGGTTGGGGGGGTGGATACAGAGGGCCCCCTGCAGCCCGCGACAATGGGCTTCCTCCCTTCTGTCCCCCAGGTGAGCCAGACCCCGCCACCCCCCCTCCCGAGCCCCTTCCCCAGAGGCTTCGATGCTGATGGCAACAGTGCTGGGTGCATTCTGACCCTCTGGGCTGCCTGGAAACTGCGTATTTTAATTCTGGAGGCAGCACCAGAATTAAAATATGCATCAGAGAGCAGAGATGGAAAAGGACAAGTGTGATTTGGGCTCTGTGTGAATGAAGGCTCACTCAACTCCTGGGCTATGCAAAACTCATCCATTTCTGCACTAAGAGTTGCCTGAGCACCTCTCCTGCATGCGATGCTGGCGCCGCGATGGCTGCTGGGCACCCCCAGGGAGTGAGCGCTGCCCCATCCCCTGAGGGGGCCACAGTCTGGAGAAAGCAGACTTAACAATGCGTGTAATACTGTGACCCTGCACATGTCGAGACAGAGGGACATGGAGCGCTGAGGGGGCCGTGAATGAATGCCCGTGTCTCCCCAGGGGCTTCTGGAAGGCTTGGCGAGGAGGGGACATGCTGTGCCACGCTGACAGCCTGAGGAGTGTGTGACAGATGGGGAGATGGGTCTGAAGGCCTTGCAGGGCTGAGGTTCTTTGAAGAAGAACACACAGAACTGGGGGGCCAGAGGGCTCAGCCCTGTGGCCAGCCCTCCTGAAAAGGCCCCCCGGCCGGACCAAAAGGGTACTCGGGGGCTGAGTGACCGTGTGTCCTCTCTGGTCCGGGCGCCTGAGGATGCTGAACACCTCTGGGCTACCCTCCCTCATCTACCACACCTGGAGACAAGGGGAACCCCCGGGGTACCCCAGGCTCCTGCCCCCTCTGTTCACCGTTCCTGCGGGTGCCGCTCCCTGCCAGGGCGGGCTGGGGCCAAGGCCACAGCGAGAGCTGAGCCCGCGGTCCTGGCCCCTGGGCCCTTGCCCAAGCCTCAGGGGAAGGAGCTTGGGGCAAAACAAGGTCTGCTTTCTCCAGGGAGCGCGGATGGTGCAGGGTGACTGTCTGGGTCACAGCCTAGGGCTGAGGGAGACAGAAAAAATAATGAAAAAGGGGCAGCCTTTATCCAAAGCCTTATCCGGTGCCTGGTTTTACAGGCATGGCCTCATCTGACAGCAATCTTAGAAGGAGGGCGTCATTTTACAAGTGAGTAAACTGAGGCTCAGAGTGGCTACGTGACTAAATGACGGAACCGGGCCTCCTTCACAGCCGTGTTCTCCCAAGGGCTGGATGCCGTCGGCCCGAGGGTGACAAGGACGTGCCCTCCCAGAGACAGAGAATCAGAGCCAGAGAATCACAGAGCCAGGGTTCCTTTTGGAGAGTTAGAGGGGCCCGGGCAGAGCAGAGCAGAGGGACCTCTGGTCAGCGGAGGGAGGAGCTCGCAGCCTGGCAGACTCCTGTCCCTGGTTCAGACTGAGTGGCGATGTGACCAGGGGGCCAGGCTCTGGAGCCTGAGGAGAACCCGGTTCCAATCCCCACTTGGCCAGTTTGTAGCTCAATGACCGCCTTGCTGTGTGTCAGGGGTCGAGTCTGTAAAATGGGGACAACAACAGTCCCACTGTCAGAGCGGTTGCGATGACCGACAATGACGACAACGAGAGGTCAGCACAATGTCCAGCTCATTAAAGGGGCCTAGGAAATGACAGCTGTGACTCTTACTGTTGTTATTATTAATTGAGCTAAGCACTGTATCACTTATGAAGGGTCTGGGCAGCCTGGAACAGAAGAAAAAGCAGCGTCTTGGAGGTAAAGGGGTCTGCTGGGAGGCGGGCGTCACCAACGGGCTTCAGGCATTCATTCACACGTTCCTCTCTGCGAAAGCCCGAGGCTCTCGGCTTGAAACCACTGGCTCTGACTGCGCCCTGCCTCCCACTGGGGCCTGCCTCCTTCTCCATAGCTCTGAGTGCTGGGGTCCCAGGACATTCCTCTTAACCAACGGCCATTGGTGTGATTCAAGGGCCTCATGATTTCGGGAAAAGTGCTTGTGCCCTGAGAGCCAGAGCATCTGTCGTGTGCTGACCAATCAGGGTCCCGAGTCTGAAGGACCAGAGCCAGATGCCGGGCTATGGAGACATTTGCCATCTCTGGACCCGGGTCGGGAGGCCACCTGCCTGCTCTTTCTGAAACCCTGCTCAGACGCTTGTCGCCTCTGCTCTCGGCCGGCAGAGGGCGCTATTGCACGCAGCCCGGCCCAGCCGCCGCCCGCCCGCGTACCTTGTTGGCCACCGTGTACTGGTAAGAGTACCGCTGCTTGCCGCTCTTGTCTTCGTAAACCGTGGGCACGATCTTCAAGATATAGTCGTGGGAGGCGAGGGCTGTGGGAAGGACACAGCAGAATGAGGCAGGGGATGGGCAATGCCTGGCTGGCGGCTCTAGGTCATTTCAGCCTTCAACCTGCTTGGCGTGGCTGGTGGCTGGGGGGCGGGGTGGGGTTCGGGCTCCCCATTTTCATCACCAACGGACCCCTCTTTATTTTCTCCCTCTGACACCAGGAGTTGAAAGACTCCACCTGTCAAGATCTTTACTCCTGGTTTTAATAGTACATTTGTGGGAACAACGCAATGTCCATCAACAGGGCAAGCGCTGAGAGGTGGGTGCTGCGACAGGCCACGTGCCGAGAGGAACGGTGACGTCAAGAGAAGAACCAAGTTACATAACAGGGTGAATAACACGTTTCCGTGCTTTGGGGGCAGGGAAGGCTCACACCGTCTCCATGCAGAAATACATAGAATTTTCTGGAAAGATACCCAGAAAACTATTAGCAGTTTTAGCCCCTGGGGAGGAAGGCAGGATGTGATAAAGATCACATTTTATTGTGCACCCTCTGGTCCTGTTTGAATATTGTTACTTTCGAAACACACTGGGTTTAGGTTTTAGAAAGAAAGGGCTCGCAAACCAGAAAAACTGCATCTATGAAGAATTGATTCATTTCTTTCCCCATTTTCAATGAATGGGAGATCTGTTCTCCCCCGACCTGGCCCTGTTGTATGTTCCAGAGTAACTCTCGCTCCCTCCCCCGCGCGCGACAGGGAGGCTGCAGAGGGGAGGGACTGAGCCACACTCCTCCCTGTGTCCCCAGAACCCTACGCGGGGCCTGGTACCGAGAGGACAGTGGCAAATGCTTATTGAGTGAATGAACGGGTGGAGGGATGGCTGAGCAGAGGCATGAATGGGAGAGCAGATGAGTCAGCTTCTGATAAGCATGAGGTAACCGGATTCAAACACTGCGCTGAGAGAACGCTGGCCCAGAGCTGCCAAATGCTGCCCGGGAAAGGTATGAATTCCCCCGGGCCTTCTGGGATGCTAAGAGAAGTTTGGGTCAGGGGTCATGGAGCTAAAAGAACAGGAATCAGAGATGCGGGCCTGTGGGTCCTGATCCAGGTCTCCTGGCTGAGGCGGCCCTGAGCCCTGCACTCATCTTGTGTAAGAGGTGGGGGAGGCAGCTGGTGCCCACGGCCTCTTCCTGCTCACGCCGGGTCTTGGGAAGGAAAGGACAGAGCTCCTGGAACTGTCCGCAGACTGGCCTCCCCCAAGAACCCAGGAAGAGCCCTGCAGCCTCGGGGCTGAGCCCATGAAGACCCTAATGCCCTCTGCTCAACCCCAAAGTGGTCCTCACATAATAAAAGCACCAGAGTCACCCAGAAAAGGCAGACACCTGGGCCCCGCCCCCAAGGTTCCTGCTCAGTGTGCCTGGGCTGGGGCTCAGGATCTGTCTGCATTTAAACCAGGAGCCCAAGGCCACACTTGAAATACAGTGCCCATCGCCCCGGTTAACAACTTGAAGGCACGGAAACCACACCCGTCATAGTTCTGTTGTTGAACCGAGTGCAGGTTACCAGGGACGAAGCGGGGTAGTGGGGGGACAAAGAGGGCAAAGGGGGTCAAATACACGGTGACGAAAGGAGACTACTGCTCTGAGTATACAGATGTTGTATTATAAAGTGCTACACCTGCCATTTAATGTTACTAACCAGTGTTACCCCGCTAAATTACAAATAAATTTAAAACAGTTCTGTTCAAATTTGTACCAAAAAGGTTCACAAATAAGAGAAATAAAACTCACAAATCCACCACCCACAGGAAACCACGGAGTCTCACTCTTGTGTATAAACTGCCAGGCTTGTGTTTATACACGTTTAGGTTTTCTGAAAATTGGATCATACTGTACCTCTTCCTAAAAACTGAACACCACAGACCCCAGAGAGCAGGCTCCACGGTGGTGTCGGTTCTAGGCACTGCCGCAGCCCCCAGCACATGGCCTGGCATGTAGGAGGTGCTCAATAAATGCTTGCTGCCTGACTGCCCGTGAGGTTCCGATGGGCCGCGGTCAGGGACAGTACGTGTCCCACGGCATGGCCGCATCCACGGCCTCGCCCAAGCCTCCACGGCTAGACACAGACCTCATTTTCACTCTTATAAACAATGACCTCATGGCCGTCATTTTCCCAAATCACTGCACTCTTAACTATTTCCTTAGCTTCCACTCTCATGAGTAGAATGGATGACTCAAATGCAATGACCATTTTTAGGGCCTTTGATACAATCTGTCAGATATCCACTAGAGTCCTTGTGCCTAACACACCCATGTGGATTCCTTGTCACCTGACCCCTCTTCAGGGCTGGTGGCTTCAGCACCATCCACGCAGGCCCACATACCCTTCCCACTCCCCCTACCCTTCACATATCTCATTATGGAAAAGCCCAAACATGTAAGAAAAAGGGATCAGTCCTGGCTGGTGTGGCTCAGTGGACTGAGTGCCAGCCTGGGAACCAAAGGGTCACTGGTTTGATTCCCAGTCAGGGCACATGTCTGGGTTGCAGGCCAGGCCCCCAGTAGGGGGTGCGTGAGAGGCAACCATACACTGATGTTTCTCTCCATCTCCTTCTCACTCCCTTCCCAAGGAAGGAAGGAAGGAGGGAGGGAGGGAGGGAAAGAAGGAAGGAACGGGGATCGCAGAATGAACTCCCATGTACCCATTTCTCAGAGTCACAGTTACCAACAATGGCCAGCTGCACTTCAGCTCTACCCCGTTGCTCCTCCTCCCGCATTTTATTTTGAAGCTAATCCCAGACATCACATCAATCCATCCACAAACATCTTAGTGGTGTCTCCCTGAAAGATAAGAACTCCTTAAAAAAACAAATAAACCCACTACCACAAGGCCATCAGCACGGCTCAAACATGAACAACCAGGTGTCACTATGTTCAAAGAGAGTGGCCTAAGCTGAGAAAAACAGTGAACTTGTTCCTTAGGAGGAGAGAGTCCCTACAGAGAATGTGGTCGGGGGGGCCTCTGAGCAGTGGCGTTTTTGCTGAGACGTGAACAAGAGGCAGACTCTGGAGATGTGAGCACAGAGGGCCCCTCGGAGGCAAAGGCCCAGCGTGGGGACCAAGCCTAAAAGCTGAGGAGATGAAAGGCCATCCTACGTCTAGCCATCCCCCTAATGCGTTTTTCTCGCCATGAAGCCAGCCGGAGACGGCTTCTGTCTGAGTCCGTGCAGTTTTCAGCGCACACCCTCTGCCGGCTCATATCCTGGGGCCCTGAGCTCGATCGGCTTCCCATCGCGGGCAGCTGAGGGGCCGGTGCTGACTGCGGGCACGTGTGGACGGCTGCCTTGGGACCACGCGCTGCCCTGACACAGACCTCCGGTGACTCCCCGCCCTCCATGACATTTGCGCACACGCACGGAAGGTGCTGTTGCGTATGTGGGCAGCGCGAATGGGTGCGGACTGCTGGGAGGCCACTGGGAATGAAGGCAAAGCAGACACCGTGCGCAGCGGCCGCATCGCTCTCATGGTGAAAACGCACTCAGCCTGGTGGCAGAGCTGCTGGGCGGGCGGCCATGCCTCGGTCACCGCCGGAAAAACTGGACAGAACTGTGGTTACGTAATGAGCCTGAGTGCAAAAATCAGAAGGTAACTACTGTCCACGCTTTGAAAAAATGACTTCCGTCCATGGACAAGAACTCAGAAGGACACAGAGAAGGCAAAGGGCGAGTTCCTGGGGGTGGGGCAGGTCACGGGGAGATGTTCTCTCTTACTGAGATTCCCGATGATTAGCAAGCGGAAGGTACTTTAAGATGCGCCAAGAAAAGCCTCATGGATAAGAAAGGTGAGCTCGGGGAGGCAGTTAGAAAAGGCCAGGCGGCCTGTCCTGCAGGGTCCAGCACGCAGACAGGCCTCCCAGGCTGGGTCTGTGTGCACGTCCAGGCCCCTGAGTGTGGGCGCATTTCTCTGCCGGCGTGTAAAGACGCGGAACTCTCTTTAACCTGGGCCAGGGAGCTGGGTGGGGAGGGAGCAGGGGAGGGGGCCTTCCGGGGAGGGGTGGGCTTAGCATGAAGACAGAGTAGGGTGGGGGTGGCGGCCCAGGTAGCCAGACCTGACTGCGCCACCCACGGACAAGGTCGCACGCTGCCACGTGATCTAGGAGGGGCCGGGGCTTGGCCATGGCTCCCTGCGGGACCTCAGGGATTCGCTCTAAGAACTAAGGACGGTAATAGTGACGACCGCGATGGCTGGTGCTCATGAGAGCCTGGGGCTGTTGCAGACGTCTCCCAGGGACAAGTCCCTTTTCTGGAAGACACAGAGACTTCCACCTTCCTCCCAGGGTGGCTGTGGGGAAGAAGCCTGGCTTACAGGGAGGGCCCCGAACCGTTCCCTCCCCTCCCCCACTCCTGGGCAGCACTGGGAATCATGGGGCAGGCCGTTCCCGGGGGCGACACTTACGGTTGGAGGCGAGTCTGTCCGCTCCCCCGAGAGCATTGAAAGCTCCGTGGACATTCTGGACCTGTGGAGAGGCACAGTGAGGGGACGCCGAGGTGCCATCTGGTTTAGGGACCTCCTTCGTATGTAAAATGCAGGTTCATCAGGGTCTGCCTCATAAAGAAGTTGTGGGGAGCAACTTCTCCCCACAGACACCGCATAGGCCTGGCACATGGTAGGCACCAGCCTGCCTCCCATCCTGGGCAACTATGTGCCAGTCTGTCCTGGGTACTCCAGCGCCTGGCAGAGCCTGGTGTGGAGCAGAAATTTCTCAAGAGTGTGATGAATCCAGGACTGTCCAAGGCATAGAAAGGAAGACCCAGGGCCGACGCACCTGGTTGCTTACAAGCTGTGTGACCTTGGGCGAGTTACTGAACAGATTCTCTGAACCAGAGTGAGGAGGGCCTGGTGCGGTGTAAAGGCCGGGTCTGAATTCTGGCCACAAATGCTCGTAAGTGACATGACAGTGGATGTGCCTGTGTGTGTGCAGCGGCACTGAGGGGCCCCACCCGCCAGCAACCGCAACCAGGAAACGAATTCTCCCCTAGCAAGGCCTGGGGTCAGGTCCCGCTGGACCCCAGCGCTGGGGCCAGGCAGTTACTTCCCCTCGGAGCCTTGGTTCCCTCTGTCACACAGGCTGCAAGGGACTCTACCTCCAGGACCGCCAGCACACCCTGCCCTGCAGCCAGCAGAGACAGGCTGGTCGGTGTCTGGTCCTCTGTGTTTGCTGCCATGGGTAAGAAATTGCTGGGCTGGGCCTCCTGGAGGTGGCTGCCTCGATCAAACAACAAGGACTCAGGATACTCCCTTCACCACGCCACCCTATGTAAAAGCGTGGCCCTGGGCAGCAAGGCCGAGGGGGCCACAGAGGGGAGCAGGCAGGGCTGTGCAGACAGATCTGCGGGGGTCCCTGACCAAGCAGCTCCATGTCTATAAGAAGCAGTGAACCCCCCCCCCCACCTCATAAGGCTGCACCGACAAAGGGAAAGTGCCAGCACTGAGTACTTGCTCATGAAGGGCGAGCCCTATTCCCCCCGGCCCCAGGCCTCAGGCTGAGGTTCCAAGGCCGGCCCGCTGATGATGAACGGCAGCTGTGTGCTCAGAAGGAACGAAACAGGGGGTGTGGGATGGAGCGGGGGCTCAAAGGGGGCGACCCCTCCAGAGGCCATCGCTCTGTGCCCAGGAAGGACAGACGGCTCTTCTGGCAACACAGCCCCCGTGCGCCCATCCCTGGCCACACCACCTGCAGCGTGGCTGCTCACCTGCAGCGTGTCCCCAAAGGAGAGCTTGTGGATGACATGGGTCATGTCCGGGTTCTGTGGCTGGGCCGTGGCACTGTGTGTGGACACGTGGAAGTTGCCTGGGACCTGGAGAGAGAGGGGAGTCTCAGGAGGTTGGTGGGCTTCCCCGGAGGGTAGGGTGCAGGGCTCCGCCCTGGAGCCAGACAGACCTGGATGTGGACCCCAGCTGGGTCCAGCTGCAAGGCTGGAGGGGCCACCGCCCATCCGAGCCCCGGCTTCCGCACCTGCAGAATGCGGCATCAGTGGTGGCTACTCAAGGGCATGGTTGGGGCTGGGGCCGGGGAGGGGGCATGTCTGTGAAGTGCCCTGCTGGACACCTGGCGCAAGGCCATGGGTTGAGACAGCAGCTGCCACCACCAACTCCTGGCTGATGGCTCCATAGCAGGTCGGGGACGACCTCAGGCCTGCAGGCCCCGCAGAGCTTCCTGAAACTCCACGTTAACACTGTCACCCTTTAGAAGAAGTGGTATGGCTTATAATTTAGCAGCTCATTTTATTTTTTTAAAGATTTTATTTATTTATTTTTAGACAGAGGGGGAGGGAGGGAGAAAGAGAGAGTAACGTCAATGTGTGGTTGCCTCTCACGTGCCCCCTACTGGGGACCTGGTCCACAACCCAGGCCTGTGCCCTGACAGGGAATTGAACCAGAGACCTTCTGGTTTGCAGGATGGAGCTCAATCCACTGAGCCACACCAGCCAGGGCTTGCAACTCATTTTGCAAGCGTTCCCCTTTCGAACTCTGTGAACCTCTCTCAGGAGCACGTGTCTTCACTAGGGCCCGGGCTCTGGGCTGACGCAGAGGGGCCGGGAGCACAGGGCACGCCGGCCTCCGCAAGCTCACACTGCGTGGCCCGCGTGGTGCCTGGGCCCAGGGCCCGGGGCGTGGGGAGGAGGGCGGGGCAAGCCACTGGGTCTAAGGAGAGCAGGGATGGACAGCTTGAGATTCCCCAGGAGGCACAGCCCCGCCCGCTCAGGGCCTGATTACCTGTGACAGGGTAGCAGCTGGGTTCCACAGGTCCGGCCCTACCTCCTGGCTGGGGGGTCACGAGCACGGTCAGTGACTACTCTGTGCCTCAGCTTCCCCCATCAGCAGAATGGGGTGGCGACCTCAAAGCGTTACTGGGAGGATTAAATGTGGTGACAAGTACAACGCCAAGGGCAGCTGTCACTAGGCTGGGCTCGTAGGATGGACCAGTTTGTCACCAGGCAGGGGGACCCTGCTCCTGGAAGAGGGGACAGCATATATACAGGGCCTGGGGAGGAGCCACTGCATTTAAAAAATACTTTAAACGTCGTTTTTACTTGTGTAGATAACACGGAGATTCATCTGTATTACAAAGACTTCACGAGATAAAGTCGGGATTCAAGTCCCCGTTGCCTGCCATCCCCCGGAAATAAAGAAACGATGGCGTCTGGCATGTGTCCTTCAGACTTCCCTATGCAGTGACGTGTGGCCTCCGGGGGACGTGGGCAGAATTCAGAACCGTGTCTGGGGCCTGGGCCCCCCGCTCTCGGAGTTAAGTGAGGCAAGGAGGCTGGCTGCGTGCATCTGCCACCCGCTGCCACCGCTTGAGCTGTGACTCAGTGACCCGCCCCCCCCCCCGCACCCGGAATCCATCACAGGTGGCTGACTCATACCAGCACACACTGGGCTGGAGAAAGAAAAGACGACGCTTTTAGAGCCTGTGACTTAGGAGCCTGCGTCAGTGCCTCTGATGGATTTTAAAAATATATCGGCAAAGCCAGGCCTCAAGCTCCGGCTCACCGTGCCCTCTTCCCAGGGCGCTGGGGGACGCAGCAAGGGGTCTGGGATGCTGGGGCCATCGGTGCAGCTGAGACATGTGAACCCTGACTTCCGGCTGCTGGCCAGCTCCCTGGCGGGCGGATAAGGAGGCTGCGGGGCAAGGGCGCGCCAGGTGCTGTGAGACAAGGGGGTGGGGGTTGGTGGCAGGGGATCCAAGTCCCAGGGAGACTGAACCCCCCCCCAGACTCTCAGCAGGAGCCATGAGACACCTGGGCATTGACCTCAGCCTGCCGGGGGCTGTCTGGGGAGGCGGGTGGGTGCACAGCTTGGCTGTCTGTTCCTGGGGAGGGAGAGGACGGAGGAGACGGGGACCAGGGGCTCTGTACCTTGTTGATGCTGAACTGGCCCTCGAAGCGGCAGCCCACCCCGTTGTTCAGCGGGATCTTCATGGAGTTGTCGATGTGCCCCACTTCATGCCTGCCCATCTCATCCTGGATGTCGAGCCCGACCACTGAGACAGCCAAGGAGAGAAGAGTCACAAACACCCAGAGAAACGGGGGCGAAGGACCAGCCCCCTGCTCCGTCCCCTCCTCGGACAGGCCGGGGCCCTCCAGGTGCTCACTGGGGCCCAGAAACCCAGAAAGGAAATCAGGCCACGTGATGGACAGGGAGGCCCTGGGCAAAGGGGGAGCTCGCCCCCCACGCCCCCTGCCATGCCTGTGCTAGAAAGGAAGAGGGGAAAGAGAGAGGGAGGCAGCAGCTTCTGGGACCAGTGACCAGTGACGCAGGAGTGCAGGGCACGGGGGTGATGGCCACCCAATGCGAGGCCGCAGGCCGCAGAGGGTCAAGGGGAAGAGGTGGCCTGAATCCGGGCCCTGCCTGCCTCAGACCAGCTGTGCGACCTGGGCTGAGGCACTCAGCCTACATCCGCTTCAGTTTCTTTCTTGGGAAATGGGGTGGTAACAATTAAACCTTCCTTGGAGGATCATGAGGATCGAACAGTTAATATGTGTAGAAAACACTTAGAACAGGGTGTAAGGCACAGGAAGTGGCAGGTGCCTAATACACTTCACCACAATGCAGCTCAGATGGAACCTGGGCTCACTGGTTCAAGAGGCTCGCTCCTTCATTCGTTCATTCGTTCATTCATTCATTCATTATGAAGGTGTCACCGTTAGTTCCTGCCTTCATTCACGCACACCCTCCCTTGCCCCAGTGCCTGCTCCTCCAGGCCCCGCCCTGCAGGAGCTCAGGCACTTTTCTGGGTTGCTCCATACGCCAAACGGGCGACCTGGGGAGCCCCGGTCCGGACGGCAGTGTGGTCCCACCCCCTCCATGACTCAGCTTCCCACCCTGGGCAATGGGCAGGCGCACGCCAACGGCTTGTCCCGAGATGGTCCAAACGGCAAGGGGGAGGTGGCGGGTCCCCATAAACTACTGCAGCGCAGCGATTTCCCCGAAAGGACGTGAGGAAGAGGGCCTCAATGCAGAGAAAGAGCAGCTGGAAGTAACTTTTTAAGTGAGCCAGTCCTGAAAGGGGACAACAGGAACAACTCCAGCTCCCTCAGTGGAGACGGGGAAGGGAGCGAGGGCCCATCCACAGGAGAGAACGGGATGTGGCCATTACGAAGGACACTCACGGGTCTGCGGTATATGGGAAGGCCGATGCGTATCACTCAGCTTAAAAGAAAACGCAAGCAGGTCCTTGTTTGAGTCAGCAGTTTCATCCCCGGGAGCCTATCCTCAGAATGCACACGTGATCAGACACGTGTGCAAGGCCGCTCAGGGCGAGCGTATTTGAAACTGTGACAACTGGAAGCAACCCAACTGCCTGTCGGCAGGGGCCTGGCCAATGGAACGGCCCCCTCTGCAAGGCTGGGCAGCAGGTAGAGGAAGGGGCTGAACCGGCACGTGGGAGAGGCCGCACAGGGCAGGGCAGCAGCCGAGTGTGGCACTGCGCTTCCCAAAAGTCACCCAGCCCCTCTGTGCCTCAGTTTCCTCCTCCATCCTAGGTTTCTGAGGATAAAAAAAAAGGAAAATAGCACTTTCTATGCACTAGACACTAAGAGTGCCTTTTATGTAAGAACGCGCCACCTGAATTTTCCCAGGGGGCAAGTTAATGCTATCAGGCCCATTCTTTCTGGGGAGACACCGAGGCACAGAGAGGTTAAGTCACTTGCTGGTGACCTCACAGCTAAGAAACGATGACGCCTGGATTGGAACCCGTGGAGCCTCGATCCAGAGCCCACGCCCTTTGACCACTCTGCTAGAACCCCTCTCACCTTGATGCGCTGACACAGCCAGAGTGTTCACATCAGGACCTGGCCCCAGCTCAGAGCCGACTGCGTGCCTGCCGGCGTTACTGTTTCACTAACCTTATATGAGTGATATATAAGGACAGCCCCAAGGGACCAGCTGAAAACAGGAACCCCAGACAGGTCCCATGCAGCTGGGTCCCAATTACAGAAAAAAAGATTGTTGACGGACAGGTAAGCGGACAGGCAGACGGACAGAGGACACAGGAGTAGAGTGAGGGGTCCCAGCCCTTGACAAATGCTTCCTCTGGGGTGGCATAGCACGCTGGGGAATGTGTATTTCTTTTAGCGTTTTCTTTCTCTATTTCTATATTTTGAACACATTATCCTTTTTTAAAAATAAAAAATAATGTGTTCCTTTATTAGTTGTGTAACCAAAAAACCCCATCATTTTTTAAAGCAGGATATGAGATCGTACATGCAGCATGATCTCAGCGGGTGTAGAAATGTGCGGAAGGGAAAGCCAACAGGACGGAATGGCCTGGAGTGTCCACCGAGCCTGTCGCGGGCGTGAAGGATGGATGATTTCTCCTCTCTCCGCTGTTCTGGATTTTCCAAAAGTACAATGGTGAGCGCATACTTTTTTTTTTATAAGATAAACTTGAAGCTTAAAAAAAAAAAAAAGCCAGGGTATGGGCTCTAGAGCAGCAGGGCCCTGTGGGCTGGTGCAGCCACAGTGTGAGGTCGCTGGGCCCCTCTTGGGCCGCTGCCTGGAGCTGGGACAGAGCCTGGAACCACATCCCTTCCCTCCCCGGTCCCCCGGGTCCCAGTCCTCTGGCCTAAGAATTTCCTTGTTCCAGAGACACAGCCAACGCCTGAATGAGAAGCTGCCAGATGAATTATTTTTCTAAGAGAAGGAATAAAATAAAAAAAAAAAAAGAAACCTGACCATTCCAACAGGTTGCCTGGCTTGGGGCCCACTGTGGATTCAAAATTGTGATGTAATTCTCACCCAAAGCAGTAAGAGGGCTGACTCCCTATCTCTGCCTGCAGACCCACCCAACACGCTGCCCTTCAATGGCAAGGAAGGGGGTCGCACGCCACGTTGGGGCAGAGAAACAGCCAGGACCCCAGTCCCCTTACCCACAATTCTAGGGGCCAGCTTACCACATCCTCTCAACAACTGCAGGCAATAGACAGCACTAAGCCCATTTTACAGATGAGGAAACTGAGGCTTGGCAAGGTTACCTTAACCAGGGTCAGACAGTTTTAGCGACGGAAGGAGCCAGAATGTGATGCCACACGCCAGGCTTCCAATGAGTTTTGTTTATACAAATAATTCCTCCCCTTGGTTGAATCAAAGGAAACAAACAGATAAGGTAGAGTATGAAGTGAAGAAGGGAGTGTTCTGAGTGCTGCTAAGAGCTCACAGCTGCATCCTCCTCTAGGTGGCTGGCGACACCTGGTTGGCTGAAGGCTCCTTGCCTTGAGGCGCTGGGGAGGTTCTGTGACCACCCCCCCTCCCCCCACACACCACCCTGCAGTCCTCAGTCAAGGACACCAAGGATATGGATAATGAGAGCCAGGCCCTGCGCTACCAGGTGGGACAAACCATGGCGCCATTCACAAGCCACACACCTCTGCTTGTCCTCTCGCCTCCCTCACACCCTCAGTGGTTCCTCCTGAGAGCCCGCTCTCAATAAATTCATGTTCTGAGAATCTGACTCTGCTTCTTGGGAACCTGAACTAAGAAACTACCCCCGACCCCCGGCCAGCAGCATATACCCTCCAGATGTAAAGCTCGTTAGCAGTTTCTTATTTTTTTCCTTCCCAAAACCCACCAAGTATGTTCACATGGGATCATATTCTCCCCACAAAAGTGGGAGAAATCTCATGCTACCTGTTGCTGGCAGCCTACCCGGCTCGCTTTGCTGGTCCCAGTCCTCCCCCCACGTCTGTGAGGGCGCGCCCAGCGCCGCCTACAGGAGGGGTCTGGCTGCGAATACTCACGTTCACAGTGCAAGTTGGGCAAACTGATGTTCAGGCTGACGTCGATTTTGCCCCCGCTGTCCTTGTCCGGGTCATCGACATACAGCTCGTTCACGCTGGGGGAGACAAGCACAGAAGCCTTTGCTGTGACGGGGGCGCCCGCCCAGGCTGCAGGGACGGCTCCCCTGGGGGGGATGGGGCGGGGCAGCGGAGCAGGCGAGGGGGCGTGGCAAGAGCACGGGAGTCTGATTCAGGTTCCCACGCTGGCTCCGCCACTCTCTGGGGGAACTCGGCACAGGCTGCCCCTGTGAACGCATCTGTTATGCGGGGGTCAACGGGATGGTCTGAAGACGTATGCGAGGACTGCAGGCCTTGCTAGGAATCCGAGCCTGGCCCCAGCAGGCGCACGCCACCTCCCTCCCACACCACCGTGATCTCATGTTTCAGGTCTCACAAACCCGGGGCCGGTACCAGGTCTAAGAACAACCAAACCAACGTATCAGTTCCTTGTGGCTGCTGTAACAAATTGTCGGAAAGTTAATGACTTTAAAACAACACACCTTTATCCCTGGCTACTGTGGCTCAGTGGATTGAGCCCCAGCCTGACAACCAAAGGGTTGTTGGTCCAATTCCCAGTCAGGGCACAGGCCTGTGCTTCAGGCCAGGTCCCCAGCAGGGGGCGCCCTAGAGGCAATCACACATTGATGTTTCCCTCTCCTTCTCCCTCTCTTCCCCTCTGTCTATAAATAAATAAATAAATAAATAAATAAATAAATATATATTTTTTAAAAGCATACCTTTATTAACTTCTACTTCTGGAGGCCAGCCGTCCACAGTGGGTCTCCAGGGGAGAATCCACTGTCTCGCTTTTTTGGCTTCCAGAGGCTGCCTCAGCTCACAGCTCCTCCCTTCACCTTCCGGGCTGGCTGTGTGGCATGTTCTCTCCTCTCTAACCAGCTGACTTCCTCTTAGAACTCTGTGAGCTCACCCTGCCCACCTGGGTAACCCAGGACCACCTTCCCATCTCAAGCCCCTTGACATCATCACATTTGTAAACGTCCTTTTTCACATTCGGTCACAGAGTCACAGGTTTCAGGGATGTGGATATCTTTGGGGACAGGTGGCTCCACAGACACCTTGACAGCCATGACACTCTGTTGTTGGGGACAACAGCACCACGCTGTGATCTGTGAGCAACACTCGTGTATTTAACCAAGCCTTCTGAGCACCTAGCCTGCCAGGCACCAGAGTGACAGGAAGGAGACCACCATGGTCTCAGCCTTCACGGAGCCCCCAGGCACCACGGCTTCCCAGGGAAACAGCGCCCACTAACCATGAACACTGCTTTCATGGAGAGCTGAGGGTGCCCCGGGAGGGCCGGGCCGGGCGGCTGGGACGACCTCTCGGAGGAGGTAGCAGCTGAGGTCTAAGGGTGAGGAGGCTGTTCTGGCAGAGGGAGGGGGGACTCGGGCCAGAGGCCTGGAAGTGGGGAGGGCGCGGCTCACTTGGGAACTGAGTGAAGGTCACTACGGCTGCAGTGGGGAGCAGGTCCGGGGGGCTCCAGGGCCATGCTGAACCCTTCGCATTTGCAGCTGCACCCGGTGCCTCGGTCAGTACTGCACTGTACTAGGAGGCTCCCTGTCTGCTGCAAGGAAGGCTGATCAGAGGGGCCAAGGTGCATCAGGGAGTCCAGGCAGGAGGCCGCTGCAGGCTGCAGGTGACAGATGGCGGCCTGGCCTAGGCGTGGCAGGGACGGAGAGGAGGGCAGGGGATGCAAGAGCAGGCAGGACTCGCTGGCGGACGGGCCTGAGGGCAGGCGGAGGGAAGCACGCGGCGACTACCGCAGCCTCTTTCTGGAACCGTGCACTGGGAAAGAAGCTGGCTGGTGGCGGGAGAGGCACTGGGTTCTGCGTGGCCGTGCTGGGCTCGCGGTGCCCTGGAGTGAACGCTGGATGGCCATGTCGGAAGCCTGGTTCCCAGATAACTCCCCACGGGGAGAGGGGAGCCAAATCTAAAGGCCGGCCTAGTGGGTAGCTATGGGCAGAGCGCGAGGCGGCCACTTGGGTCCCGGGCACGGGCTGAAACCTAAGGGACTGCGGCTCTATACAATCAGGCTCTGTAAGAGCCTTGTCAACGACCACTTCTTTGGGAAAGGAGCTGGGCCAGGGCGAGGGCACCTTGCTTTTACTAAGATCCTGTCCTTGTGCCCCAGAGCCTAGTGTGCCCCAGCTGGTGCTCACTTAATAAGAAACAGTGGGCTCAACCACACACCCGCGGCTTCTCGCCTTCTTGGGTCACAAGAACGTTCTCAGAATCAAGAGAGGCCTGCACAGCTTAGCCTTCAGATGGCAGGGATTCCCACCCATCCAGCTGGGAACGGCCTGATCTGCCCCTGTGAGATGTCCTGATCCCCATTCTAATGACAGGAAACTGAGGCTGAGGCTCAGAGAGGCTGAGGCCCACCCCCAAGGTCACACAGCAGGACATGGCTAAGCTGTCCCCCGGCCCAGGTCTGCCTTCTTCCTGAGTCCCAGGGCTCACTTTGCCTCCCTCCTTCTTGTCCCCAGCACCCGGGGTCAAGGGAGAAACTGAAGGGGCCCTGGCCCTCTGAGGCGCCGGCGTGGGCGGAGAGGGAGCCAAGGGCCTGGGCTTGGCAGGCTCCCAGAGTTGCCCCTCATCAAAGAACAGGAAGAACTAAGGAACCCGAGGGAGAGGAGCGAACAGGATCACGGGACACTACGCTGGAGGACTCGCTGTGCCACTGCCAGATGCTCCTCCTAGGCCTTCAGCGCCCCATTTCTACCCCCGGCCTGAAATCGCAACTCAGGAGGGTTGTTGAGTAATGAGGTTGCTCGGTGACTAACAGAACGGTCACCGAGGGAGAGCCCTCGGCTTCCCTTCCCTGCCCAGTGAGACTCTTCCTTGAAGCGCCTCACCTCTCCCACCTGGGAGGCGGGGCCTGGGGCATCACTGAGGGATTGTGGGATGATGTCATCCCCTGGCAATCCACTGGAGGTGACCTCAGCTGGCAGAGCAAGGTGAGTCCCAGGTGTGGCGCCAAGGTGAGCTCACCGGTGGGGCCTCGGGAGCCCTCTCCCAGGCCAGTGGCCCGGCTCCCCAGCGTGGCCCAGACAAAGGGGCCACGGTGCAGGGGAGGTGGCGAAGGCTCTCAGCTGCGGGGCTCAGAGACAGTCTTGCTCTGTAAGCCTAGAGCTGGCAGCTCTCAGGTGCCTCCCTGGAGGCCCTGGGCTGTGCGGTAAACGCCCCGTCACCTGGGCCGCCCGCCAGGTGAGGTCAGTCCAGCCACCTCCTGAGAACAAAGCCAGTGTTCCGGGGCTGCTGGCTTCCTGCCTCCCCGAGCCGGCTCTGCGAGCCCACTCACAGCCTCACGTCACTTGTCACTCACGGGTGCCTGCCAAGGCTGGCTAACCTTGTTGCCTGGGGCCAAGCTGATTGTAAAATGTGATTTTAAAAGCCCGTTTGGAGCTAAAGCAGATGCTTTTTGGGGACCCACTGTTGTTTGGGGATGGGCCCCGTGGGCCTGATTCCCCGTCACTGGCAGGGTAATAAGAAGACCCGTGGGGCAGTGACAGGGAGGTGTGGCTCCCCACCTGGCCACACCTCTGAGAAGCTGGGGGCCTGGGACAAGGGGCTTCATCTCTCTGAGCCTTGGTTTCCTCCGCTGTAAAACTGGTAAAGCTTTCTATGAAGTTAAAAGATAGGCAGAAGTAATCTACGGTAAGAGAGGTCAGAACGGTGGGGGAGGGGCGGTGACTGGGAGGGGGCAGAGAGAACCTTCCAGGTGGCGGGGATGTGTTATCTCGATGGGGCACTGATGTGGGTGTGATGTCAATGCAGGTAAACACCCATCAAGTCTCACCTTTAAGACGTGTGCACTTTGCCATCTGTAAGTTATATACACCTCACTAAAAAAGGTGGTGTGGGCGCGGGGGGTGGAGGAGAGAGAAAAGGAGGAAAAGAAGGGGAAAGAAAAACATGGGCTAAGGATTCGGCTACTTCCCAGGGCTGTATGAGGACCAGCGATGGGACGGCAGGCTGCCCGGGCAGCGGTGTTTGTCCCTCATTTAACCCTTGGGGACACAGCACGGGCCCTTCTGGGTAGAAGGCATCCTGGTGGAAGTCCAGGTTCTCAGGGTTCAAATCCTCGCTCCGCCACCTACTGTCTGGTTGACCTCGTCCAAGGGGCTTTGCCTCCCTTGCCTTAGTCTCCCCAGATCTGTAAGACGGGGACAATCATAGATGTGGCACAACCTTAGTAAAGAGTAAGTGCTCGATACACATCCACTACTGCTATTGTTATTATTAACATCAACGTTTCCTGAGTTGATAGTAACAGTATCCAGCGCATAGCGTTGTGGGGAGGACTGAATGTGTCCATGCGTGTAAGGTGCCAAGCACAGCCCCGGTCAAGTCTAAGGCACACGTAAAATCCGGCCTTGCTGATGACTAAGCAAAGGAGATGGCCCCGTTCTGCACTCGCAGGTGGTGCTAGGCACCGTGCCGGGGCTTTCACGCGTATCTCATGGAACATGCAGGACAAGCCAGTGTTTAACTGGGGTTACTCTCCTCCTTCCACAGGGATGACGCCAGGCTCAGAGGAAGACAGATAAAGACTGGCCAAGGTCACACGGCAGGAAGAGGTAGAGGCAGGATCTGAATCTAGAGACCCAGGGCCCCTGGAGCCCAGTGCCGCGTTCCTTCTCCTGGATGACACGGGACAGGATGGGAAGTGATGGAGACCTGAGGGGCGTGGCCCCCCCAAGTACACCTGTGGGGCAGGTGTCACGGTCTTTCTGATAATCTTCAGGTGCTCCCCCGCCACCCATGGCCCAAATATCCATACGCTCTGGAGGCGCTCAAGGGGCCGCTCCTAATGTGCCCGTAACCTCCCTCTGTCACCACCTGCCACACCCTGTGGGCGGCAGCATCTGAGTGGGCCCCCCTCCCTGAAGGGGACTCTGTGCTACCAGCACAGAGCGGGGGCTCACACTCTGCTGACAGAGCAGACGGGGGAGGTAACCGGCTGCACTGGTGGAGGAGTAGGGGCGCATCCGGGGCGGGGAACGCCAGGCAGCGTCAGGGAGTCTGGCGGATGGCGTGGGGGTGGGGGGCGAGCCGAGACCATGTAGGGAGAGCGAGAGAGGGCCTGGGGTGGGAGCGGTGCGGGGTGCGGAGGTGGAATGTGATGGAGGGCCTTGGAATTCTCGGCTGAGGCGTGAGTCTGGTGACATCTACGGAAAACAATTTTATTTGCTTTTAGAAGAGCACTTGAATAGTTCAGATTCCTGCCCAAAGTCGCTGACCTCCGAGTTTAATAACTGGATTTAATGGAAACTTACACACAGCAAAGGCCCTGGTGGGAGGGGGCTGGGAGGGAGGCGGGTTATGCAATCGCCACCTGGCGGGGAATAATGCCCCCCACCTGAGCCCTCTGCAGACACAAAGTCCCGCCCCCGCCCCACAACACAGCTGTCACCCTCTGCCTTGGTCCTTGTGCAGCCTCCTCACCTGGCCCCTGGCCTCCAGGGTCCCCTCTTTGCAAGAGGTGAGCTGAGGCACAAGCCTGATCCGGTCACTGAGCTCAGAAGCCTTCAGCTCTCCCCCTGGTCCTTTCTCAAGAGCACAGTGACAACCGTGGCTGCTACCCAGCCCTGGCGCACCATCCGGACACGGGTGGGCATCTGGGCTCCGGCGGGCCTGCTCCTCCCCCTGGTGATGCCACCGGCCTCCTCGCTGTGGACCTGCTGGGGCCGCGTGCGAGGACACCGGCCGGGTGCCCTCCGAGTTCCCCCAGTGGGCAGCGGCTCCCGGAGTCCTCACTGCCTGCTCACTGCCTGGGCCGGGGGGATCCGAGCCCTCTAGTCAACTGTTCTGACCAAAGAGCAGCGGCTCCCAGGCGCCCAGGGGGCCAAGGCGATCTGGGCAGAAAAGGGCAGGGTAACAGGCCAGGGCGATGCCCGGGCATCAGTCAGGCTTGGGCTTGGCTCTGGCTCTACCACTTCCTAACCGAATTGGGGTTTTAGCCTCCTGGTGCCTCAGTTTCCCCGGCTGTGAAGCAGGGCTAATGCTAACAGTAGAACCCACTTCAAGGGGCTTGGTGATGATTAAATTGGCTGAGCATCGTAAATTCCTGGCCTGGTGGCCAGCACCTGCTCGCCTGCTGTAAAATCGCAATGGGAAATTAGAATGAGTTGTGTCATGCTACACGATATCAATGGAGGGCTCCGATGGCTGCAGTTTCTTATTCTAAGTCCTCACCACGTTAATAATACAGCAGCCAGAGCCTGGGCAGTCAGAGGCTGGCATGTTCTGTGGCCAGCGCTCTCCGAGGAGGGTGGCTTGCTCCCCTGGAAAGTCTGCCTCCCGGCACCCTGGGGGGCCTCTCCCCCAGCATAATTAACGGCCTGTCCAGGGCCCAGGTGGGAACCCAACCGCCCAAACAAACAGGCCTCTCTCCCACCGGGCCGGGCCAGAATAGCGTCTTAGGTCACCGATAACCACAGGCCAGGGCTGCAGCCATGCTGACCCAACCAGCGGTGACCTCATTTCCTTGGGTTACAATCTCGTCAGGGTAGGGGACTGACCCACTGTGGTCACGCGCTACTGCCAGGGAGGGCCAGCAGCTCCGAAAGGGAAAAGGACTGTGACTTTCCATGCGTCCCAGATCAGCAGGGCTCCGCAGCGGTGAGATGCGCTTCTGAGAGAGGGAAGACCCCAAAGGAGAACCCGTTGTCCCTCTGTGGCGCCCTCGGTCCTCACCCTTGCAGACTCCCCTGGAGCAGCTTCCATATTATGGCTATGTGGCAACAGAGACAGAGGGGACATCAGGGCCCCTGCGTGTCATAAACGGAGGCTCTGGCCCCAACAGGTCTCTCTTCTTGTCCCCGCCTCCCTCCCTCCCTCCTCTCCAGCCACACACACTGCAAATGGGAAACTGCTTCTTAGGCCGGGGCCGGACACAGGGGAACCCTCGAAGAATAGCCTCTTGTTTGATTTCTCCCCTCACCCTCATCTTTCTTCCTCTCCAGGGGATCTGGTGGGACCAGAGGGTCCAGGATGCCCCCCAGGGGCCCGGAAGAGGAAGTCCCGGGGAGGGGACAGGCAGCAGGGCGGTCGGAACGATGTGCTCCTGGGAAAGGAGCCCGGCCTTGGGTACACGGAAGGACCTGCCCAGGCTTGCTAGGGTGGCCCTGCAAGCAGCTGAGATGCCGGCGCTGACGTCCCAGCGCACCTGCCTGGGGCCCCTGCCTCAGCGCCCGACCGCGCTGGGGGCTGCGCTGATACACGGGGTTCCTAAGCTGCCTTCACAATGTCGGCAGGATACAAGGGGGCCCGTCCGTAACTCAGGGGAGGGGACGAGGAAATAAACATTCACAGGGCGCTTATCCTGTGTGAGGAGTTGAGCGGCCTTCCGGTTTTTCTAGTGTTAGATGGGGAGTAACTATGAAATGAGTAAATGCAGAAAGATATGGTAATCCATTAATACCAAAGGCTACAATAAATTCCTCATTCACGGGTGTTGCGATTTTACAAATGGACGTCCAGACCACCTCCACCAGCAAAACGCGGACGCCTGGCTTTATTGCGGTGGTCGGGCCGCGTGCGGAGCACCTCCTAAGGGGGCTGCTATCTTGTGCAAGCCGCCTAAGACACCACACGCCCTTCTCCTTCTGCTCCCTACTTTGTCTTTTTATTCCGAGCCCTTATCACAAACTGATATATCCTAGGGCCGTCTGCTTGCTGACCGGCTGTGTCCACTGCTGCCATTTTCGGCTCCACTGAGCATGGAACCGCACGGCAGGGAATGAGGCAGGCCTGGCTCTAGCTGCTGGGGGCTCAGGGCCGAGGACGGGCCCCCCAACACAAAGCCGTGTGTACAGGGCTGACTCGGCCCCGCTGTTTCTCCTGCCCGTGCTCTGCCCGGCCCCCGCCCCGCCGCACCGGTTCCCTGGCTGCACTTCACATACCCCAGGGAAGTCCTGCCTCTGGGCCTCCGCACTTGCTCGTGCCCTTGCCTGGAGCAGGTAAAGCCGCCTTCCCTACCCGGTGCCTAGGGCGTGGTCAGGGCCCCTCCTTGTTGCGGTCACACATGTACTCTGCTCATCTTGCTCAGAACGTGAGGAGCCTGCAAGGCACCCTCCCCCCAGGGAACAGAGACTCGAGGAGCCTGGCGCAGCAGGTCCTTTGTCACGCCAGCCACTTCACAGCCTCTCACTGAGCTCCCTGCTTCCACCTGCAGTTCAGGATGGGGGACCCCAGCACGTCAATGGCCCAAATGTGCGCAGACGGGGAGACACTCGGACGAGTCATCCCCCATTCGGGGCTGCGTGTGGAGGGGGCACAAGGTCCTTTCTCCAATCTCTGCATGGTCGGGGCGGGTCGTGTCTTGGGAAGCAGCTAGGCCTCCCCAGGCCTGGAAGGGAGTGGGATTCTGGTCCACCGTCCCTTGTTTTGCCAGCAAGACTGAGACCCAGAGAGGTTCAGCAACTTGCCCAGGGTCACACAGCAAAGTGGTAACCGAGCAGACACCTGGCCCTGGGTCTCCCAATCCTTGTCCAGTGCGTTTCCCACCGCTCAGTGAGGACCCCTGGGCTTGGGTGCCATCGGGGTTAAAAACAGGAGCAGAGGGACAGGGAAGGCCAATCCTGTCACACCTGGGGGCGGGGCGGGGCGCGGAAACTACATCCAGAAACAGGTGAAGGGGAGGCGAGATTGGCAGGCCTCAGGAGCCGCCTCCTACTGCCTGTGAGCAAGTGCCCTGCCCTTCTGAGCCTCAGTTTCCTCATCCGTCCAGAGGAGACAACTGGTCCCCACGGTGGTGTGAGGGTTACAGGCGGTAATGCTTTTACAGCAGCCAGGCCCATCGGGGGCCAAGCAGCTATGTTTCCAATTTCCTATTGTCTCGTGGCTGAGAAGGAAGCAAAGGAAACCAAGAAATTCCATGAGTGAAGGAGAAAATTCCAGTGTTGAACAGGGGGAGTGAGCAGCCAGGCCTCCAACCCCCTGATGACTTTCTAGGTTGTAAACACGGAAACAAAGAGACCTGGAAGCCTCACGCCCCGGCCAAGGCAGGAAGCTCCTGGGTCTGATTCTGTCTCAGAGGGGCGTCCGATGAGGCCCGGGCTAAATCACGCCGCTGGCATCTGGGTTACACACGGCCCAGAGCGTGCGCTAGGAGTCGGGGATGCACTCACGATGCGTCAGTTGCTGCCAGGAAGCGCGCTGCTTCCTCACCAAGTGTGGGCCTGGGAACAGGGCAGGGGGCTTAGCCGAGGGCCTCTGATGTCAGCGGCAGCGCCCTCGGATAGGAAGCCACACAGTGTCTCTGAACTGTTCCGGCTTTGACACTGAATGACCCGGGGATGAGTCAGAGGCGGGGAAAAGCCCCTGGCCACACAAAGGGATGGCCAAGGGGGCAAACATGTTCTGTCCATCTGGGGACCTAGATGGACATGTGGTAGGCAGCCCCGCCCCCGCCAACGTGGAGCCCAAATTCCCGCTTCAGCTGTAACAAAGCAGCGTTTGCCTTTTGCTCTGACTTGAAAGCCCTTTTAAGAAACAAGGGCAGCAATGCCACAGGCTGGGAAAGGGCGTTGGAAGCTTCTGAGGTTTCTCTCTGTTTTCAGGCCCCCCCCTCTTCCTCATCTGGGAAAGCTCTGGAATGCGGACTGGGGGTGGGGGGTAACTTACACTTCTGTGGTTATGAATCCGGTGAGCTCCGAAAGGAAGAGGAAGAGAATGAAGAGGCAGCAGCAGATAGAGACTGGAAGAAACAACAGAGACGCAAGGTGAGGGCGCAGGGCACTGACCAGGCGAAGGCCCTGCCCTGGCCTCCCCGCCCCTGCCCTCGGGGGGAAAGCCCACCCCGCAGCCTCCACAGCCCCTTCCTGCTCTCTAGGCTTAGACTGAAGCTGCCCTGCTCCCCGAAAGGGAGCCGGGAACCGACTCACATGGGTCTGACCCTCCAGGTGGGCCAGGCCCCTACCAGGCAGAGCCCCCCAGGAGCCAGTCCAGCGTTCGTCCGCCAGAGCCCTCGGTTTAATGCAGTCAAAACCAGGTGGCTGCGTGGGGGCCAGCATATGCGTTCTGTTTGGCTTGAGGGGAACATACTTCAAAACATGGAGTCGGCACCGAACAATCTGGAGATTTCCTGTCGGAGCAGATTTCTGGCTGCTCCAGGGCACCCAGCTCTCGTCCCCTCAGGCGCTCTGAGCTCGCCAGTGCGCCACGGGCCCCACGGCTCCCGCCCGCCTCCCTGCTTCCCTGGCTGCGTGTCTCTTCTGTGTCTCACCACCCCCACCCCCATGGTGCCATTGACATTGCGCCCGTGTCCCCACTCAAAAGTAGGAAAATGAAGACAGTGAGCTCTGCACGTCCAGAGGAGGGACCGTTCTTTGTGGAGGCGAGGGAGTGGCCCCCGTCCGGAAACGCAGAGTGGGGGGGTTCCAGGGCCGGCCCCGCACGTGAAGGGGGCTCGGCTGCGCAGCGCTGCCCTCGGTTCCGTGGTGCAGGACACAGCCAGTGTCCCAGGCCCGGCCCAATGCCCCCCCCCCACCGCGTGCCCCCACCCGGCCATGCTGAGCCATGGGCGGGCCCCTAACGTCTGTCCCTTCACGGCTGTGGTTCCGCTGCCCGGAATGGCTTTCCCATGTCCCCCCGCCTCCGCAGTTGCCTTCTCTGTGTGGCAAGCTCCTACTCATCCTTCCAGGCAAGGCCCCGCTCCACATGTCCCTTCTGGGGGGGGAGGCTCGCCCTGTCCCCAGGAGCGTGGCTGGTTCCTCTTTCCCCTGCGCTCCCAGCCTCTGTTTGGACACCTGCCACAGCTCAATGGTTATCTGGGGCTGCTTCTCGTACTAGACTGATATCCTGGAGGGCAAACTCGCCACGGCTCTCTGTTAGGCCTTTCATCACAGAGGCCTTGAAGGGCTTGGTGGTTTGGGGAAGGCGACGTGACAACTGGGCTGACCCTTCGTTTCCTGCAGAGAGAAAGAAAGTTCCCAGCCCCACCGGCTCCTTCTGGTACATTCTTGACAGCCGGCACTGGGACTGGTGTAGCCACCGGATGGGCGCTGAGACCGGTTACACCACCATCCCCATTAGCCGTGGGTATTGCTGACCATATCTGTCTGTCTGTCACGAATGGTCAAAGATGCATTCTGGGGGAGGAGGAAAGAGAACGAGTGTTTGCTGGGCGCCTACTGTGCACCCCGCCGAGGAAGCATGGAGAGACCTCTGGTCATTGCGCATTCCCGCTGGGTGGGGACGTGAGCCCCTGTGGAGGGCGGAGACAAGGAGGCTCTGGCTGAGGAGGAGACTGCCCCGGAGCCACACTGGGAGGGGACAAGGCTGGAATCTGTGCTCTCGAGAGCCAAGGTCCGAACAAAAGAACCCCAGAGCTCCAGCTCCAAGCAAAGGGGCCCAGGGATACCCCAGAGTCCCCGGTGAGCTTCAAAACCACACCAAGACACAGAGGTTCCTAGAGTCACGCCCCCGTTCTTCCGAACTCTGAAAAAACGATTTGGGCAGCTTTAAAGGGGGTTACTTTTCTTTCCCCCACCTTTCGAAGAGGTAAGATAGGCGCAGGATAAGGAGTCAAGCTGCACTGACAGGCATATGGTGTGCGAGGCTCTTTCCCACTCCTGACCGCAGTCCCCGCGGGAGCCAGCACCGTCACAGGCCTGTGCCCTTCCCGGCCCGGAGCACAGATGTATAAAATAAAGACTTTTCCCTCTAAGCAAACAGCAGCCTGAGGTGCCCCCGCCTGCAGCTGTGCTTGCCCACTCAGCAGTCTGTGACCAAGCAGGTGCCACATCAGCTCGTACACAGCGCCCACATTTGTTTGTTTGCTCGCTTGTTTTTAGGGCGCTGAAATGAATTTCTAATGCCTTTCTCCAGCTGCTGAGCAAACCCGGCGCAGGCAACAGCCCAAGTCTCCCAGCCCACGTCCCTCCTGCCACCGCGAGGAAGGCAGCGGTGACGGGAGCAGGCCCTGCACCCCCACCTGGCTCCCCCGCACTGTTTCTGAACAGCACCGCATCGCGTGGGACCCGCTCTTCAGAGAACCCCGGCGCCGACCCCCCACAGCCCCAGCAAACCCCGCAGGATGCTGCAGGGACGACCAGGCCCGAAAGAAGCAGGTGCTTTTTGAAGGTCCATGCTGACTTAGGTCTGTCAGGGTCTCCCCAGCTGCCCTCCCTGCCTCCAGCCTGCAAAACGGGCCCCCCAAGTTCGTTGCCGCTCTGTCCAGATCGGAGGAGGACCGCAGGGCCGGCAAGGCCCTCTCTCCGAAACCCGTGTGCTTTCTTCAAGGCCGATGAAGCCTGGTCACCCGGGCAGGGGGCAAGTCCGGAGGCTTGGCTGAAACCCAAGTCTCCCACAGACCCTGACACTGGAGCTCCGCGTCTGCCTCACCCTGTCCCCAGACTGGGGGGACAGAGATGCGGATCAGCACCACTGTGGCCTCAGGGTCCAACATGGTGCCCGGTGCAGAGGAGACATAAAATAAACCTCGGGATAAGGAATGAGAAACACGAAGGCCAGGTAGCAGGGAGGTCAGCCAGAAAGGCTTTGACAACTGAAGGCTCGACGAGGGATTTTTCAGTCCATGTTTGGGCAAGAGGCTGCGGCCTGACCCCAGACTTCTTCTGAGACTGACGAGGCCCGGACAGCAGGAATGCAGCCCCCAGGAGAGCTGGCGAGTGGGCGACCTGGTGCAGCCAGCCAAGGGGGCACTGGGCCTGAGACCCAAGACCCGGGAAGCCAGCGAATTTGTCCAAAAGCCACACGGCTGCTTCAGGGGAGGAGGCAGAACCAAACCCAACCCATGCGTCTCCGGCGCCCTCGCTGGCTTTCTTCAGATAGCACTTATCACGAGGCAAGGAGATGTTTCTGCGTCTGCCGCGCACTCCTCCAAGACAAAGACCAAAGGCCATTCATCAACACGTTCCCAGTCTTTCCACGGAGCCGGGGCGGGGCATTTGTTCACTAAATGCAGCTTAGGGCTGGCTGCCCAGGCCTCACGCCTCGCGTGAAAGGGAAACTAGCTGCCAGGAGCACGCGGTGAGCATACTCGGGGGAGGGCAGAGCGCACTCACGTCTGGAGGGCGTGGCAGTCCCTGCCCAATTCTACAGCACGAGGCCCTCTGACCCAGTCCTTCCTCTTCTGGACGGCTACCTTATGGAAAATAACCCTACCAGCGTACAAAAAGATACAGACAAGGATGTCTGTCCACCCTCCATGTGGCTGCCCACATCAACAGTGGGTCCCCCAGATAACATGAGAGGACACAGCTAAAAGACGGCAATTGCGGAAGGATGAAGGCCCGACATGTTAGCTGAAAGAGGCCGGGAAGATGGTGGTGCACAGCCTTCAAAGTGCGTCTGTGTGGAAAACAAAGACAGACGCTTTACGCTACCATATACCGAATCTAGAAGGACACGCACTGTAAGCTGAACACACCAGCACGGGGGGGGCTGTGCTGTCAGCTGGGGCAGGGGACAGCCAGGTGGGAGTTTTTGGGCCCATGTTCATGACATAGCTGAACAGGCATGTAGCCAAACAAGGCCCCGAACATCCTTCCGTGGGGACCAAGGCACCAAGCTTGCCCGCGCTTCTGCAGTCACGGACCCCCCGTGGGCCACGGGCCCGGGCAGCGCCGCCAGGCGCTCGAGCGACTTGGCACGCGCCCTGCCCTTGACAGGTGATGCCCTTAACACCAGGGCAGGGAAACTGAGACTAAGAACAGGTGACCGCCCCAGGTCACCCAGCTGCTCAATGGGAGGGCGAACCCCCGTGCTGCCGGACTCCAAGAGCTTGTCCCCTTCCCTAGAGGGGGGAGACCGGGACTTGGAGAAGGCAGCCACAGCATCAACGAGCCAAGGTGGAGGGAGGAGGGAGAGCTGGGCGGGGCCCGCCAGGGTGGGGACCCTGAGGTCATCCCCTCCCTGATGACATGGCCTGCTGAGGCCACCGGGGACTCGACCAGGCGCCTGACCCCGGTGGGACAGTCTCGCGGGGGAAGGTCCCTTCCCATACTGAGCTCTGGAGAGGCCGGGGTGCAGGAGGCCCACTGAGTCCCCCGTCTGGGCTCTCTGACGTGAACTGTGACATATCACTCAGGCCATCTTCCTCTGAAAATGTTATTAAATCACTGCCTGCATAGCACTTTCGGTTTGTTTTTAATTTTCCTAGATAAACTTTTTACTGTGGAGTAATACTGGATACAAAGACGGTA